GGTGCGAATAGAGCCATACAAAATGTACGGCTCCGATCGCACCGCACACAAAGCGCATGTGATGTGCAGGGAATGCGGTGCAGTTCCTGTGCGGATCACATGCAATATACCGCACCGCATGTATGTGAACCCGGGCTTAGGTGCAAGTTGTCCCCTACACTCTGCATACTGGGAGCTATTGCAGACCGAAGTGTTTTGTACGCTCTCTGTGCTCCCCCAGAACAATACTGGACAGCATATATCCAGTCCCAGCAGCTCAGCAGTGGGGTGTCCCTGGAAATGTTACCAGCTGCTGTACAGAGGTGGAAGAGGGACATAAACTGCTGAAATGGCTCTGTAAGAGTTCCTGGAGAACAGCTGCGGATCGTCTCCCCACAGTGACATGCAGCATCTGATGAAGGATCGCACTGACTTCAGCTGCTTTTGTTGCCTCATTACCATCTGGAAACGTATTATTGCACAGTGAAGTGCAGGTTTACCTCCCAGAGACCCCACGGCAGGGGCGGACTGACAACTCATGGGGCCCCTGGGCAATAGGGGATCATGGGGCCCCTGTGTCCTTGCCCAAACTCAAAAAAGCCTATGAAAAAAGTACCAGGGGCATCTCATGGGGCCCCCTACTGACCCCGGGCCCTCGGGCAGTGCCCGAGTTCCAAATGGTCAGTCCGCCCCTGCTCCACGGTATTTGTTTTCATCAGCTTTCTTCAGAATATTTTCCCAGCATTGTTTTGATTTGTTGTCCTCCACTTAGATCAGGGGTCCCCAACCCCTACAAGATTTTATCTGGCCCACAGCTAGGGGCTGTGGTGTATCCACAGTGTGCGAAGACTGAAGAATAGTCAGCAGATCTCTGTTTCTGATGTAAGGGGGCACTATACTATAAGGGAGGACTCTGATGGGACCCTAATGTAATGGGGGACTCTGATGGGACCCTAATGTAATGGAGGGTAATGGGGGACTCTGATGGGGATCCTAATGTAATGGGGGACTCTGATGGGGATCCTAATGTAATGGGGGACTCTGATGGGAATCCTAATGTAATGGGGGACTCTTTTGGGGACGCTAGTGTAAAGGGAGTCTCTTATGGGGATCCTAGTGTAATGGGGGACTCTTATGGGGATCCTGATGTAATGGGGGACTCTTATGGGGATCCTGATGTAATGGGAGGCTCTCATGGGGATCCTGATGTAATGGGGGTCTCTGATGGGACCTGATGTAAGGAGGGACTCTGGAGATCCTGATACGGGGGGGGCAGAGGCGGACTGGCCATTTGGAAACTCGGACACTGCCCGAGGGCCCGGGGTCAGTAGGGGGCCCCATGAGATGCCCCTGGTACCTTTTTCATAGGCTTTTTTGAGTTTGGGCAAGGACACGGGCCCTATGATCCCTTATTGCCCGGGGGCCCCATGAGTTGTCAGTCCGCCCCTGAAGGGGGGACTCTGATAAGGATTCCTTTTGTTCCATGAATATTTGTAAAGGGTGCGATGTGGCCCCTGTACTGAAACGTTTGGAGACCTGAGACCAAAATAAACCAGGTCTGGAGCATTGAACTCCAATATTTCGGGAAATAAGACATGAGCAGATCTTGTAGACCTTAGGCCCCTTTCACACAAGCGGACCGATTGGGTCCACCTGTCTGCTTTTCAAGCGAACACGATCAGACTCTCCTTGCACTCTATGGAGCGGTGGGTGTAAACGAACCTGCCTGTTTACACCTGCCTGCATCAGATCTGACCCTGTCCACTAAAAACAGATTGATGGGGATCCGTTCCCCATCCGTCTGGTGGATCGGTTTGGATATCAGTCGGATGGAAATGGACAGGCGGTCCGTTTCCTTCTGACAGACCATAAAGCACAGCTTGCTGTGTCTGTGTCTGCTCTGCATAAGCGGAGCGGACATGGACCTGTCATCCACCTGCTCAGTGGCGATCAGCGGGAATATCCAGTAATCCTGAGTAGGGCATCATGTGACCCGCTCCCGTTGCTGCCACTGGTGTTTGGTATTAGCTGTAGAGATCTTCAGAGCAGGGGCGGACTGACCATTTGGAAACTCGGGCGCTGCCCGAGGGCCCGAGGTCAGTAGGGGGCCCCATGAGATGCCCCTGGTACCTTTTTCATAGGCTTTTTTGAGTTTGGCAAGGACACAGGGGCCCCATGATCCCCTATTGCCCGGGGGCTCCATGAGTTGTCAGTCTGCCCCTGCTGCAGAGCCAACACATAGCCGCAGAGAGAAAATCTCGGGCACTATAAAAATGGCGGAGCCCCAACTCCCAGCATAGTGGGCTTTCCACAGTCATGGACGCACTGCGCATATTTCATGCCAAGATAGCAGGACAAAAATGAATGTCTTCGCATCATCGGGAGAATTTGTCACCCACAACAGTGTGCAAAACTAATATTTTGGTCTTTACATTTCTTATGTGTATGGAAGAAAAACCTTTTATCGTCTCTTAAGGCTTTGGTGTGGCATTCCGATTCTTGGACTCGAACATTGCATTCACATCCTGAGGTTCCTCTGGCAGTTCCTCGGGGTATAGAAGCAGCCCACGTATCACTTAGATTCCCCATTGGGTCCTTATCGGTACAATTGTCATAAAATCAATCTCAAGTTCTAAAGTGCCATTCACCCGAGGATCTGGCGTCATCACTCTACCACTTCAAATACACTTTTGTATTATATGGTTACATGTGGATTTCTGTGAATACATACCCCTCTTTGAGCGTTAAGTTCTGAGACATCATTTCATATCGATCAGTTCGATCGTTCAGTAGGCTGCGTTGGAATTGTCAATTTATTGCCCAATTTTGACGTCTCAATTGACTGACTTGGTCAATGGGACTCACGGGTGGTAGATTGCCTGTAATCATATTTATAATTACTGGTGGCTCAAAAGTGTTAGAAACGTATTGAAGATAACCACATGTTTGTTTGGATTTATTCTTTATAGGGTCATTGTTCTTCAGTCAGACACATTTGAAGAATTGCAAAAGCTAAAAAATAGGACCTGTCGGCCCGCTCTGACCCTGCAGACAGTCATAACTGAGAAGGTCTGAACTAAAGAAAGGAAAATCTGTGCTCATAATATGCACCGCGATCTTAAAAATAGCATAAATGACTACTTTATTAGTGTTCCGAATAAACACGGATCATCAGAAAAAGAAAAAAAAAATATTTTTTACGGCCGTATGATTTTGAAGTGAATATTCGAAAAAAAAGTGGGACCTCCGCCACTGTATTTTTGAATCCTGAAGCTGTATGTCCAACCTTTCTTACTGTGTCCAAGTTTGCCTCTCTGCCCAATCTGCAACGTCCAACGCAGGGAAGAATTCCCCGCACTTCTGAAAACGCAGCCGAGGTTCCCAGTACGGTTGTGTTCTCCAGTGCGGGCGGCGTGCCATTAGAACTGGTCCGCATTTCTCTGTGCGGGTGGTGCGGCTGCACAGATTTTTGTGCGGATCCGTAGCGGCACCACCCGCACAGATGTGAACCAAGCCTTAGTAAATCTCCCCCACTGGGTCACTGACCCCCGGTTCACATCTGTGCGGGTGGTGCCGCTGCGGATCCGCACAAAAATCCATCTAGCCGCACCACCCGCACAGAAGAATGCGGACCCGCGGGCGGGTGCCATTACTTCTAATGGCACGCCGCCCGCACTGGAAATCGCAACCGCACTGGGATCCTCGGCTGCGTTTTTAGAAGGAGTTCAGTGACTTCTTCCCTGCGTGTCCCAGGGCACCCGAGTCCATTCAAATGAATGCGCTCTCGTGGCTGTGCAAAACGTGGCCCGCAGGAACGCACATATGTGAATCAGGGCTGAATAACGTTTTCAATCTCGGGCAGATTTGCTGTGAGAGGAGGAGGAGCAGTAAAGCGCAATCACCACCAAGCGGGAAGCAGAAGCTGCACGTGTCTTAGCAGCGTATTGTTACAAGTATACATAGAAACAATGTTTCATTTTTTTTTTCTTTTTGCTTCTTTTTTTGAGCATTAACACACGCTGATACGATTATTTATGTAAATCTTCTCCCATTTATATGTGCGTCTGAAGGGCTGGAGCAAGATTTCACATTCTGCTTAAGCTTCTGAGGTCGTTGAATTTTTCCGGAGTCATTAGTCATTACCTGGGCCCGAGCAACAGGCCGCCTTTAATCTGCTGAAACGCTAAGCTGCTAATTTCATCATTGGCGTTTGTGTAGACAATGAACCCTGCCCCCCCCCCCTTCAGATTTTGTCCCCCCCCCCGCGCCGGTCAAATCCTCCACCGCGGCTCGTATTTGATCTCGGCGAGCCCCGCGCGGATTAGAGTTCTGTGACGAGTCTAAAGAGCGCTGTGAAGGAGTTGGCCACTTGATTGGAGCCAGCGCTCTGTGGCGCGTCTTTGTGGTCGCAGAATCTGCGATAACTTGTCTAATGGGGGCCGCCATCAAAGGTCGGAATTTGGAAATAAATTTAATTACGGACTCGGAGCGGTTCCCAATCCGACTCCCTTCCGTAAAGTGGAACTCCAGCTATTTTTTAATTTTTTGTTCTGGACAGAGCAGGAAAGTGTTTGAAGTTTAATTTGCTTATATTCTGCCTTTCCTGGTTCCCCCCTCCCCCATCCAGTACCAGGGAATGTCCATCAAGCACCCAGGGCAAGGATGCGGAACTGCACCCCCTCCCCCACTACTAATGCATTTTGTAGAATGGGCATACCACCCTACATTCATTCTCTACCCTCCTTGCTCTGCTGCGCCCAGGGCAGCTGCCCCTCCTGCCCACCCCTTGTCCTGCTCCTGCCCCCATCAACATGCTAATGAGAATTTTAAGTAAAACCTTTGTTTCCTACCTTTATTTACACCTGGTGACATCATTTCTGGTTTTCTGTGCTTCTCTATGCAATGCAAGCAGATCATGGCTAATGGAAGGGGCTGGCAGGGTGATGTACATATCTTGCTGAAAACATCACAGCATCCTGCCTCAGTATTCCTCTCCAGAGACCTCATTCCTGATGCAAGTGGTGGGCTGGCTCTTGGGAGGTGTTACGGGGACGAGTGTATATCACCCTGGGTAACGCCCACAAGGGACGATGACCCTCCATGATTGGAAGAACTGATATCCATTGAATGAAAGGGGCGGGACCAGGGGCAGTCAGGCTGGGGAGGAAAGCGCTAGAGGATACTGGGCGTCCTCCAGCCAGGAAATGAGGCGGAGCTCTATCTGACTGGCTGCAGCCTCTAATGCACATTGTGAGAAGCTCACAATATGCTGAGAAATCAGAGGAAGCCATTTCAGTCCAGGAGAGGAGCCGGTACACCTGTGCAAGACTGAAGGGGGGTACACCTGTGGAGCCAGTACACCTGTGCAAGACTGAAGGGGAGGAGATGAGCCGGTACACCTGTGCAAGACTGAGGGGAGGAGCCAGTACACCTGTGCAAGACTGAAGGGGAGGGTACACCTGTGCAAGACTGAAAGGAGCCGGTACACCTGTGCAAGACTGAAGGGGAGGAGCCCGTACAACTGTGCAAGACTGAAGGGGAGGAGCCGGTACACCTGTGCAAGACTGAAGGGGAGGAGCCAGTACAACTGTGCAAGACTGAAGGGGAGGAGCCGGTACAGCTGTGCAAGACTGAAGGGGAGGAGCCGGTCCACCTGTGCAAGACTGGAGGGGAGGAGCCGGTACACCTGTGCAAGACTGGAGGGGAGGAGCCGGTACACCTGTGCAAGACTGGAGGGGAGGAACCGCTACAACTGTGTAAGACTGAAGGGGAGGAGCCGGTACACCTGTGCAAGACTGAAAAGGAGGAGCCGGTACACCTGTGCAAGACTGGAGGGGAGGAGCCTGTACACCTGTGCAAGACTGAAGGGGAGGAGCCGGTACATCTGTGCAAGACTGGAAGGGAGGAGCCAGTACAACTGTGCAAGACTGAAGAGGGAGGAACCGGTACACCTGTGCAAGACTGAAGGGGAGGAGCCGGTACACCTGTGCAAGACTGAAGGGGAGGAGCCGGTACACCTGTGCAAGACTGAAGGAGGGCTGGAGGTCAGATTTTTTTTCCCCTGTGTGACCCCCATTGAAAGATTCCCCCTCACTTCCTGTCCCTGTGACACCCATACAGGAGATGGGCAGTTGTCATCAGGACAGGAATGTGAAATCATTGTCAGTGTGAACTACTCTTCTATTTTTGTGTCCCCATTGGAATGATTCTGATCATTTCCTGCCTTGATCTACCATCTTCTTCCATAAATACCCCTGGGAATATACTGCCCCATCTTGCCATTGGTCACCTCTGGCCTCACCTGCAGCAGTCCTTCTTCACCTGGGGCTGCCGGTGAGTTTTCCAGTGTGGGTGGTTTTGGGGGGTGGAGGATGCCGGGAATGCGGACCCCACATTGGAAGCACACAGAATAATGAAGTTGTGATGTCAGAGGCCGGGCGGCTGGGAGGTTCCTGCGGAGACGTCTCCTCTTGTCTGAGGGTCGTGCGATTTGGCTGTGCGGAGAATACAAGTGGCCTCATTTAGCGCATGGGAGGGCGCCGCGCTGAGAGGCAGCAATTTCAGGCTGTGCGGGGGCGGACGCTGAGATCGCCATCGGAAAGACACATCACCGTAATTCCTTCCCTTCACTAATAACAAGCCTTTCCTTACCTCCCCCCCCCCCCCCCCCACCACCCGCTACACCCCATAATCTATGATGGCTGGCGGTAGGGATCGTCCTCATCCAATATGGAGGGGCCCCAGAGTGAAGAATTGTCTGCCGGAAGATTAGCGATCGCTGTTCAGACACTAATGAACCCAACAAACGTTCTGACCGTTCCTGAGGTTCCCCTTCATAACAGAGAACTCAACAGACTCCAATCTTCCGTCCAATCGACACGATTCCATCCAAAAAGTCATTCTGTAAATTGTAACAATTTCCTGGAAAGATTCTTCATTCCAAAATATGTCCGAGGATAACGGTACAGAACCATGGCCGACTAGAGGAGCGTACGGTCCTTCCTGGACTATAGAACCATAGACTGGACCATAGACTGGAATTATAGACTGGACCGTAGACTGGACTATAGACTGGACCATAGACTGGAATATTATAGACTGGACCGTAGACTGGGATTATAGACTGGACCGTAGACTGGACTATAGACTGGACCATAGACTGGAATATATTATAGACTGGACCGTAGACTGGAATATATTATAGACTGGACCGTAGACTGGACTATAGACTGGACCATAGACTGGACCATAGACTGGAATATATTATAGACTGGACCGTAGACTGGACTATAGACTGGACCATAGACTGGACCATAGACTGGAATATATTATAGACTGGACCGTAGACTGGACTATAGACTGGACCATAGACTGGACCATAGACTGGAATATATTATAGACTGGACCATAGACTGGAATATATTATAGACTGGACCGTAGACTGGACTATAGACTGGACCGTAGACTGGAATATATATTATAGACTGGACCATAGACTGGACTATAGACTGGACCATAGACTGGAATATATTATAGACTGGACCGTAGACTGGACTATAGACTGGACCATAGACTGGACCATAGACTGGAATAATTATAGACTGGACCATAGACTGGAATATATATTATAGACTGGACCGTAGACTGGACTATAGACTGGACTATAGACTGGACCATAGACTGGAATATATTATAGACTGGACCGTAGACTGGACTATAGACTGGACCATAGACTGGACCATAGACTGGAATATATTATAGACTGGACCATAGACTGGAATATATTATAGACTGGACCGTAGACTGGGACTATAGACTGGACCATAGACTGGAATATATTATAGACTGGACCATAGACTGGAATATATTATAGACTGGACTATAGACTGGACCATAGACTGGAATATATTATAGACTGGACTATAGACTGGACCATAGACTGGAATATATTATAGACTGGACCATAGACTGGAATATATTATAGACTGGACCGTAGACTGGAATATATTATAGACTGGACTATAGACTGGAATATATTATAGACTGGACCGTAGACTGGACTATATTATAGACTGGACCATAGACTGGAATATATTATAGACTGGACTATAGACTGAACCATAGACTGGAATATATTATAGACTGGACCATAGACTGGACTATATTATAGACTGGACCGTAGACTGGAATATATTATAGACTGGACCGTAGACTGGAATATATTATAGACTGGACCGTAGACTGGAATATATTATAGACTGGACCATAGACTGGACCATAGACTGGAATATATTATAGACAGGACCATAGACTGGACCATAGACTGGAATATATTATAGACTGGACCGTAGACTGGAATATATTATAGACTGGACCGTAGACTGGAATATATTATAGACTGGACCGTAGACTGGAATATATTATAGACTGGACCATAGACTGGACCATAGACTGGAATATATTATAGACAGGACCATAGACTGGACCATAGACTGGAATATATTATAGACTGGACCGTAGACTGGAATATATTATAGACTGGACTATAGACTGGACCATAGACTGGAATATATTATAGACTGGACTATAGACTGGACCATAGACTGGAATATATTATAGACTGGACTATAGACTGGACCATAGACTGGAATATATTATAGACTGGACTATAGACTGGACCATAGACTGGACTATATTATAGACTGGACCGTAAACTGGAATATATTATAGACTGGACCATAGACTGGACTATATTATAGACTGGACCGTAAACTGGAATATATTATAGACTGGACCATAGACTGGACCATAGACTGGAATATATTATAGACTGGACTATATAGAGGGGTCATTTTCAGCATCATGCCAGCAGGGGACAGGCTTTTCTACTCTGCACTCCCTTTGTGCCCCTGTCATGTGATTCGCTGATTGAACCTCTTCTCACCCTCACTGGCATCCCTTTACAGTTCGGAATCACCAGTTGGCGGGAAGGATCGACAGTCACGATTGGTCGTCGGCGCCCGCTAGCTATTGACTTTTTGACAGCTCAGTCCTTGTGCTGGGACAACAAAAAACACACACAAAAAACAAACAACACACCCCAACCCCAAACAACACCACACACAAAACCAAAAACCACCAAACCCACAAAACCCACAAAACAAAAAAAAACACACACACAACAAAAAAAACCCCCAAAACCCACACAAACAAAAACACCCAAAAAAAAAACACACAAACACAACACACAACACAAAAAAACAAAAAAACAAAACACACAACACACAAACAAACCAAACCACAAACAACAAAAAACAAAAAACAAAAAAAACAAACACAAAACAAAAAAAAAAAAACAAAAAAACAAACACAAACACAAAAAAAAAACAAAAACACACAAAAAAAAAAACAAACAAACAACATAAAAAAAAAAAAACAAACACACACAAGATTCCAGAAGCCATCTGATTTTTTTTTTTTTTGCTGATCACCCAGAAGATGTACAGCCCTCTGATAATCCCCGTCTGGATAATGCCGTCTCCCTCCCGTATCTGGCATCAGAGCGGCGTAAATGGAGCCCAGAAATTTAATTTCATCAACTATTTATGGTGCGGTTGCTGAAGAAGCAGCACTGGTAATAGCGATAATGCATCTGATCTGGAAAGCTCCTCTTACCGGCTCTCAGATAACGTCTGTCGGCTTGGCTGGGGCTGTGCGGGCGCTGGGTGGGCCTCTGCTGCTGCTTATTTCAGGTGAAATGTATTTCCATGTTAAAGCTTCACTCCACCCAACACACATCGGCCTCTTTGTTAGGTCCACCTGTTCAATGGCTGGGTAACACAAATGGCTAATCAGCCAATCACGTGGCAGCGACTCAATGCATTTAGCATCTAGACATGGTGAAGACGACTTGCTGAAGTTCAAACCGAGCATCAGAATGGGGAAGAAAGGGGATTTAAGTGACTTTGAACGTGGCATGGTTGTTGGTGCCGGACGGGGTGGTCTGAGTATTTCAAAAACTGCTGATCTACTGGGATTTTCATGCACAACCATCTCTTGGGAAATGCAGACTCATCAGACCAGGCACCGTGTTTTCCAATCTTACATTGTATAATTTTGGTGAGCCTGTGCGACTTATAGCTCCGTCTCCTGTTCTTAGCTGACAGGAGTGGCACCCGGTTTGGACTTCTGCTACAGGAGTGGCAGCCGGTGTGGACTTCTGCTGACAGGAGTGGCAGCCGGTGTGGACTTCTGCTGACAGGAGTGGCACCCGGTGTGGACTTCTGCTGACAGGAGTGGCAGCCGGTGTGGACTTCTGCTGACAGGAATGGCACCTGTTGTAGACTTCTGCTGACAGGAGTGGCACCCGGTGTGGACTTCTGCTGACAGGTGTGGCACCCGGTGTGGACTTCTGCTGACAGGTGTGGCACCCAGTGTGGACTTCTGCAGTTTATAATAAAACTGCTGATCTACTGGGATTTTCATGCACAACTATCTCTGGGGAAATCAAGACTCATCAGACCAGGCAACGTTCTTCCAATCTTCTGTTGTTCAATTTCGGTGAGCCTGTGCAAATTGTAGACTCCGTTTCTTGTTCTTAGCTGACAGGAGTGGCACCCGATGTGGTCTTCTGCTGCTGTAGCCCATCTGCTTCAAGGTTGGACGTGTTGTGCATTCAGAGATGGTGTTCTGCATACCTTGGTTGTAACGAGGGGTTGAGTTACTGTTGCCTTTCTATCATCTGGAACCAGTCTGCCCATTCTCCTCTGACATCACAAGGTATTTTCCTCCACACAACTGCCACTCACTGGATATTTTCTCTTTTTCAGACCATTCTCTGTAAACCCCAGAGATGATTGTGCAGGAAAATCCCAGTAAATCAGCAATGCATTTAGGCATCTAGACGTAGTGAGACGACTTGCTGAAGTTCAAACCGAGCATCAGAATGGGGAAGAAAGGGGATTTAAGTGACCTTGAATGTGGCATGTTTGTTGGTGCCAAACAGGCTGGTCTGAGTATTTATAAAACTCCTG